TTCTCAGTAAACAATATTTTAATATTAACTACCTTTGAACCATTCTATATTTTACTGTGGTTTAACTTTTAATTAAACTGGAGTTAAGAGAAAATAGGGAAGAGGATATTTTGTTTCCTGGATTCAATAAGGCCTGTGTCCCAAATTTCACTCATTTGAATTACAAATACATATCTGCGTTGTGCCTTGATGTCTTCAAGTATATTATGGTTAGTACTCAAACAAGCACTAATATTAGCCTTCTATTACTCAAAAAACAAACAAAAACATTTTTCCAGACAACACTCAAGAGAGATCTTTGATGTGTGTTATAAACATTCATGCCTGTGAGACCGTTGGTAACGGCGAGGCTAATCTCTCCATTCATGCACAGAAGGATCTGGCTTAACACAGAGTCACTGTTCTGACAGAGGAAGGGACAAAGCACTCCTCTGAGACTTCTGCCAACTGGCACAGATTACATTGAATGAAAAATACGTACTGACATTTGTGTCTTCCACAATTCATGATAAATAAGCAAACTGGTTATTTGTAATCAGCCAAACTTGCTTCTTTGAAAAGGCTGCTACTGGACGTTGCAGAGCTCATGTTCCTTCCCAGTATTAGAAAGGAAAAAAATCAAGTTACATTTATAGCTAGTTTTATAGTTTCAAGCTCTCTTATAGCAATTAATCTCTTTCTATAAAAGCAAAAGCTGAAATATTTTCAAAACTTCAAATAAACTATCCTACTTTAGTTCACAGTAATTTTATAGTTTAGTTTGGTTTTCATCATTCCTGCAACGAATGAAATAGCCTCCTCCCTATTAAATTTAAAGCTAGTTTATATAAAACAGATACTAAATTATATTAACAAGTATAAAGATCCAACCAACATTTTTATGTTTAATAATTTCCTACAGATTATATAGCTATGAGCTTTGTTCATATTTTCAAAAGGACTTGCTCCTGTCCTTGTTAAACACAGGACTTTTCCTAAGTGCCCTAGAACTAACACAACCCCTAAACAAAACTTCTGGGATACAGTTGGAGCGTTTGCTTATGTCTCATCTCACAAAATTAAGGGCTGGAAGAGACAGATTATTTGTGGGACACAAACTGTGAGTGTGAACCCAAGCAGAAGGTTTTACCTTGGCTTTCTGGTACTTAACCCTTAGAGAACTGCACCAAAGAGCAGTCATTTCACTTTCACTATGGAAATAAAGGAAATTAGACATCTCACAACACCAAAAGGAATAAATCATAAAATTGAGAAGATTTAAAACCAAGTCACTTGAAGTACTTCTACTTAATATTTGACTGTCAGAGGTTAAAAGTTCAAAGTTTAAAACGAGGAGGAAAGGAAAAGTAGGGATATACTAAACTGGTCTATCATATAATTAAGCAAAACAGCAAAATATTCTGAGAAAATACATAGGCCTATCATTATGTGCAATAGTCTTCAATTAACATTTTTCAAGGAAAGAGTGAATTGTGGCCCACCTTAGAGGCTACAATGGCATTTACATAGCTTGAGGGACACCAATTATTTCTGTATAAACAGATACATGTATAGAATGTATGTGCTTTCTCAGAAGGTACAGTGAAAATGAAAGGAAGCAAAAAAGTTGATTTATTTAATTATATTTAGCCCATATATTTATTGAAGTAGTGGGATTTATTATGGGTCTCCATATTAGTTCCACCACACTCTTACTGCAAATCCTAACAATTTACTATCAATTCTGGCATTTTAAGATACGAACAAAGGCCTCACTGTAGGCCATAAATATCTCCTTTCATGACAGGCCACATTCATTTGAAAAAGTTGATCATAAATCAGCAATTTGATTCTTCCCATGCCAAGAATAACTAACAAAAATTTGAAAACTGAGCTAAAAACCTTTGAAAATGAATTTGCTTCATACTAAAATCCATGGCACACTGTTGTAGAAGCTCAACTTTTATTTAACCTCGCTCACATCTTAGTCTACTTTCTTTCTCTCCTACCACACCATTTCAGAGTCTCTGAATTTGGCTCCTCATGTTGTCACAGTATTCCCAATGACCAAGCGTCTACAGCAGCCATTAATATTTGAAACTCTTAGGTAGCAACAAATGTCCTTGTAGACTTTGCAAAATTTGCGAATCAAAAATTTTTCAATTTGAAGTGGTAAGTTTCATGAATTTACTAAGTTTAAGCTTCAACCAAAAGAGCATGCTTGAACTAAACATTCAATCAGCTATTAATAATACAAAGGTTTAGCTTTTTTCCAACAAAAATGAGTTCATTTTTTAATAAGGTTTTCAGTTTAATAATCAATTGTGAGATTGCTAGACATATGCTTATCTCTTAGAAAAATCACTCATTGCCTGTTCTAACCAGATGCTTGCAAGCATAGTCTCCACTTTTCATTAGTAAATGTGGCTTCAGGAAGGGAAATGGAAACTAATTTAAACATTTACCTGATATAAGATAACCGAGTAGCTAAATGTAATTGCCCCCAAAGTTAGAATGGTTTATAAAACATACTTCATTCTATTAGTTTGGTAAGAGCTGACTCCATTTCCAGCAGCTTTGATTATTCTATTTATTTTCCTGATTTACCCAAGTCTTTTTCTTTCCCTTAAAAATAAGGACATAGAATTCTGTTTAAATAAATTTTATTTCCAGACATTTCTATTATACTACTATGAGACTCTACCTCCCACACTGGTAAAATTCCAAAAAGATGAAATACTAGCTGATAGTGAACTTTTTTTAGGGGAAATGCTAACTGTCATGTTACAGGCTGGGTTGCAACTGGTTTTTACAAAATTGCTCATATACTAAACCCAGCACATTTTAGAGCTGGGCTGTCCAATATGGTAATCACCAACTACACATGACTTTCTGTTTTAATTCACTAAAATTAAATTTCAAATTCAGTTCATCAGTCACACTTGCTATATTTCAAGTGTTCAATAATCACATGTGGCTGGTGACAATCACACTGGACACCACAGGCAGAGAACATTTCTTAACTTCATCATTGAAGCACTGCTCTACAGCACAGAATTGACTCCTGGTTCAGTCTACTAGAAGAGCATATTCTGAGCACTTAAAAGGCTCCTACTTAAATTAGAAATAGGAACCAAAGCTTCATGAGAATTAAACAACAGTCATATCGCAATTTCAGAATCTATTATTCAAGTATTTTAAAAGTACTGCTTAAATGCAAAATGCACAAAAGACCAGAATGAGACTTGCTGCAGAATGTAAGTAGTGCTAAAAATATAAAGTGCTAAAAAGACTGATTTCATTAAAGGTGCCAAAAGGACATCAATTAAAAATTATGCTCTGAAGCGGCAATTTGATTAAATAAAAGAAACCAAACTGCATGATAAACACAAGAATCTTTCTGCTTATGTTTTCAGTAGAAGCCCAGTGTTTTATGTAAACACCTGTAGCCCTAGCTGTGTACCAGCTGTATGTAGCTAATAAGTGACTTCAGATGTCCTCACCAACATGCACCTCCAAATATGCTAACTTGTTTCCTGCACTTTTAGATCTTAACCACTTTCATAGCTTAACAGTCAAGGAAAAATTATCTAATGAAAAGATTCATTCACATTATGACAATTTAACAAATTAACTTCTAGATTATAAATTTTTTTATACGTCTAAGCACAGAATCAATTATCACAGACATGGACATGACCTGCTTTTTATTTTTTAATTTTTTTTAATTTTTTTTTTTTTT